CCCCAAAATAGAAGCAATACTTTTTTCATCTTTGTAAAGAGTATATTTAAAAGTAGCTATTTTGGTAATTACATTAAGTTTAAGCTTTTCGTCTACATTAAATAGCTGCTGTGTATTACTGTTGATCTTTTTTGGTAAATATACATACAGAGTGATTATGTAGCTATCAAAATTATTATGCATTAATATGTAGCGCTGTACCAGTATCCATTTTATTCCTGCATTACTTCTACATACCCAATGACTTGGATTCCCTTTTGCAAACTCATAATTCTTGCATTAAACATTCCTCTCACACTTGCTCATTTCAGACACCAGTAAAAAAAAAAAATACATATATACACATACATATATATTACATATATCCTGTAACCCTTAAAACACTTTACTAGCAATTAAACAGAATCAGCTACAATTAACCCAATCTTTTGAATTGGTCATATTTGAGATCCGCTTACTGATGGGGTTTTTTTTTTTTTTAGCAGAAGTTCTGCTCTCCACTGTCAAAGCATTAGCAGTAATTATATATTTGAGGAATATCTATAATAATCCTGAGCTTTGTAATTATCATATTGGACGCTGGGCTGGTTTGTTTGTGCAAGTCAAAACGAAAGAGACTTACAGGGCCAAATTCAGCTATGGCACGCCAGAATTGCATAGGTGCAAATCTCTACAGATTTTGGCTCAGAATTTTCTTCTTTAACTACGACTCTGAAGATTCATTTTGGAAAAACACTGCATCAGTTTCCATTTTAAAATATTTTCTAATATTACACTCTGTTCTATCAATCGGGTTATATTGTGTCACTTCAGACATATGAACCGATTCTACCTAACAGACATAACTTGGCATGGTGCCGCAATACCTCAAGTCAGGAACCTAACAATTTTTTGTCCTCTCCCCCTTTACCCACAGTGATATTTGCAGAGCCCTTAGGAAAGTAGTACTGTCTTTCTGTTGCCCATATTGACACCAAGAAGTGTTTGTGTCAAGGCAGCTTTCCACTTACTAGGCAGCAAACTGATTATTAGACCCTGTGTGATGGTGACTGTGTCACCCTAAGGCTTGCATACTCCCCTGAAGCCCTCATTGGAACACGTACCCTGAGGCTGGGAGAGCAATCTCCTCCAAAACAACAATACAGCTGGACAACCAGCTCTCAGGGATGCAAAAGTAAGGAGCACATTACGACTTCTACCTAACAGGATGTGAGCTCTTTGCAATGCCCCAAGACTGCTGGAGGAATGAGGGATTTAAACAATTTGTGGTTTCCCACATGGATGCATGCAGCATTCATTAAGCTATCACAGTGCCTTCTTATGTAGAAGAGCTAGCTTTTTAAGATTAAAAATGACTCTACTAAAAAGAAAAAAAAAGTGAACTGGGTATCTGTGATCTTCAACTTTAGGATTTTTAGAAGGTTAAAAAACAAACAAAACAAAAACAAAAACCAGATCTGTCCCCAGAAGGAGACCTGCTTGAATTAAAAAAACAGACCCATTTTCACTAACAAGGTCTTTCAAGACAAGCAACTGGTACAGCTAGTGATAGCCTCCATTTTATTCCATTTATAACCTGTGCAGATCCAGCATCCTTTTTGACATTCACAACTGATCAAGCAACTGGAGCTCCATCCAAGTCAGGCAGAAAGAGAAAGGAAAGCATAAAATAACCTCCTCATAAAATAGTTTCCTCTCTTAATCTTGCCTTCTGTCCCTAATTCCTCTGACATTTTTAACAGGCATAATTTCTCCTCTAGTATAACTTCGCTATCAACAGTTTTGAAGATTCCCAGACATTACTACAGTTTGTTACTCTGATCTCCACATCACGGGTTTCTTACTATTCTTCTTTTTAAGTACATCTCATTCTAATTTCCTCCTTACCTTCACCACCATCCCCATTATTTCCTTTTATATCGCCATTCACAAGAGCTCCTGGAATGAGGGCTGTTGAGAACTGTCTGGATAATCAATGGTTCTAGTTTCACTTCCTTACACCACCACCAGCCCTGAGCTCCTTATGTTTAACGAGTCCATCTACAATACATGAAAGAACTCAAATACCCCCATTAGCAAACCCTCTTTAGATCTCAGTCTTTCCTCACAGCTCACCTGCTTCCCTTACTTCTGCAGCAGAGGCAGCATCCTGCTGTTAACCCGTCAATCAGATTTAAACAGATATGGGTTGGCAGGCACCCTTTGGCAAAAAGTTAAGGGAGATTAAGACGTTGCCTCGTTTATTATTACTACTGGAGGACTTTCATGCTGAAAGTAAAAAGGCAACCTTTTCCCCTCGAGTCAAACAAAATTTGCACTGTAACAATTTAAGTTTCAGTGATCGCCCATTGTAGCTTACCCTCAAAAATGCAATCAGATGGAAATACAAACCCCCTCGCACATGAGCACTACCAGAAAAGAATTAAGCTTGCCTAACTGTACTGACTTTATTACTGAGCCCCACGTATCATGGTGTGTGGAGGAACAGATGTGAGAGAGGTTTATTTTTCTTTTTACTGAACATTTCATACCTTTTACTTAAGCATTTAGATCAAGTTTTCTCCCCTTTACTCCTCCGCCTCCCCTCCCCGCCACCATACACACACTCCCCTCACACGCACACAGACACTTTTGACCGGAGCATTATACATCCCATTACTAACACTGCATCAGTTTACTTCAGAGGACTCTGACAAACTAAAATACAATAAAGGCCTCTAAATCCACAGATGAACTTAGCATTTAGCTCCCCCTCCCCACACACCCCTCTGAGCCCCAGTGTGCATTTAACCTTCTCGCTGTTAGAGATCCGACCCCCCTCCCACTCAGGTGGAGCACACAGGCAGGCATATGATTTTTCCTCATGCCCCAACTGATTCCATTAAGGCTTGTGTCAAGCCGGCTCTCACCTTGCAGGGACAGATAGTCCAAGACTGAGGGGGAAAGGACACTTCCCGCTGTCTCTTATTCTGGTAGTCACCCTTCCAAATTAAACCCCGCATCCACCAGGGGAGAGAAGTTTTATGGTAATTTATACAGACACACATAGCATTCACTGCACACTACCAATGGGAGGCTTTTCAGTTTGCAATGTAACTGAAGCTGGCATGATGGTGACAAGCTAATGCCACCTGACCTCATGGCAAGTGACACAGTTATATGCCCCAAGATGTCATGCAGTTCTGAACCGATGACCAACAGCATATTCCCTCATCTGTGGCCTCAAAAGCCAGCCACCTCTGTAATGCTCCTATTCCCGTACATAACATGACTGGCATAGCTTGGCTGGAAATGAAAGGGTGAGGAAGTGGTATCAGCAGATGAAGGAGATCAATTGAAAATATCAGTGTTGTGTTACCACAGTTTTCCCCCAATAAGGACTTGGAGGAAAGGACCATTTTCTGAGCTGCACGGACTTCTTTCCCCAGGCATTGCCTATGCCGATGAAGAGTGTATAAGATTACCCTTGCCTTGACCCAGTAGCCACCCATGTGCTCATCCCTAAGTAGAGGGCACTATTCGAAAACACAGTTGTACAAAAAAAAAAAAAAGACAGCAAAATACTGCTAGAATCTGTGATGTCCAGGCATATATATGTTGGCTTCTGACAGGCGATCATGCTGACAATGAAACAGTGGTTTCATTTATGGAGAAAATGACACTAGAATAGAATGATTTTAAAAGAATAAAAAAAAGTGAATATGGTGAACTCTTATGGGAAAAACTGGGAGAAGCAATCACCATGCATAACAGCAGGTGATCATGCTTTCAGTACTCACTGGTGCTTTGTAAATAAGTTTTAAAGATTGCGGGGGGGGGGGGGCGGATTCAAATGCCTCAGTAGGATAAGCCTGGCAAGAGTTTTTAAGTCTGTTGTTACATGAAGCCTGTAAGGATTGCTTTCAGCTCAACAAAAACCATTACCCCAGCACTCTGCAGCAAATAACCCTGGACTGCCAAATTTGACAGCGAAGACTGCAGACTAGTGGATGACAGGGATCCCAGTTATCCTCTCCATTCGCCCTGGCCCCACATTACAAAAACCACTTCCAACAGCACCTTATCGCTCCCTGTCTGTGCGACTTCAGGATGCAGGAGGCTATTTTGGAGAGTTACCACCAGTCTCTTTCTTTTCTCCTCAGCACCTTTTACTACGTTACACGCCAGAATTAATTTGCCTTTAAATTAGCTTACACAGTCTTTAAATCTTGCCTCCAACCCTGCCTCCCTCCTTGCTCCCAAACGAGTCCAAATGAATTTCTAGCAAGTCTTGACAATAAGCACATGGTTGATCTAAACTTGCATGCAGTCAGCTCTCTCATTTCCACATACACACACCCCCTTTTCTTCCCAGCCTCATTTAAAAAGTAAATCCTTTCCCACAATAAGCCAAGGCGCCCTTTGTGAAGCAGTTTAGCAAAGCTGTGAGCTCTTAGTCATTAATAGCAGGTTTTGAGCCATACGGTGGGAGGGAGCTGGAGGGGGGGGGGTGAGGGTGGAATAGGCAAGAGGGTAAACACGACAATAGGAGATAACAGACAGTGGACATGCTGGGAGAATAGAAAATACTGAAACTAATGGATTTAAAGAGGCAGGAAACCTAATCCAGGCCAGAAAGATCCAGCGAACAGAAGAACATTCCGTTTGCTGACGAGAGCAAAGAATAACGCGAGTGGGGAAGAAATCGCTTCTTATTCAAGAAGAGCTGGGGAAGTAAATATCCGACAAATCCGATGGAGTTGAGCGAGGCAGTCACCCAAGCACTCCCTTGGACACCCCTCCAGACACACACACACACACACACACGAGCCAGCGTGCTCCGATCTGTACAGTAACAGGGACATGCACTTGCAGAAATGCCCCTGCTCCCCCCCCCACACACACACACAGAGCAGCTGTCTCCCTCCTCCTGCAGCTCGCGCTGCCTATCCGGCCGCAGCCAAGGCAGAGGACGGGAGCCGGGCGAGCGCGCTCTGGCACGATCTCGGCTTCCTACCTACCGTCCTCCTTGTCCAGCACCATTGTCCCGGGGGCCGCGGGCAGCAGCTGCGTCCGCCGCTCCGTCTCTGGCGTCCTCTCCCCCTCCAGCCGCCGCCTCTGCTCCTTCGCTCCAGGGAGGGGAAAGGGACGGAGGACCGGAGAGTGTTTGCAAAGCGCTGCCGAGCGAAAAATGCAGCCGGCTCGTCCTCCCTGTTTTTCTCCCCCCCCTACCCCAGCCAGCCAGCCAGCCAGCCAGCTAGCTAGCTACAGTTGCACGACTTTTAACCTAGATTGCACTCAGCTAGAATTACATGCAGCAGCACTGAAGAGCTTTACTAGTGCCCAAGCAATCCCCCCCCTCACAACTCAAATGCCAGTTCAGAGATAATAATAATAATAATTTTTTAAAAGATAAGGGAGGCAAAATCGAGGGCCGGTTCTCCAGCGCCTTCCCAACGGGCACAGTCAAAAAATTTGTTTTAATGTAATTGCATGTGATCGCTCACAACCCCCCTCTTTTGCTGTCGCTATTGCAGAGCTTTTCAGGCTTCCAAAGTGCTTTTCTCTTTATTTCACTCTAAATCTAAAATTATATTCAAAGGCGGGGAGGAAAAATGCGAACCTATCACTGAACGCAAAAGCACTTGCTGCCTGCCTCGCTCTCTCCTCTCTCAATTTATGTGCTCTGCACTCTCTCTTGCTGCTGAATAAATGCACACATTTCCCAGGGACCCTCAGATTCCCCTGTTAATTAAATCAATTCATTATGCTCAGATCTGATTAGCAGCCCCTTCCCCCCCCCCCTTTGAATCAATTATTCAATACACAAACATAATTGCCTGTGCCAGAGGTGTCTAAGTATTAGCTTATTTAACTCCAAGGACACTAATTACCCCTAGGGCAAGGGAACTTTTCTCATTAATTCTGACAAAACACAAAAGCACAGTTAAAGAGAGTGTGTGTATATACGTGTGTGAGAGAGAAAATGCGGGAGTGTATAGCCAAGGAAAGGAGGCATTGCTTTAACACACGTGTTACTGTATAAATAAGCTCATTTTTCTTTCTGCCTCTTCCATTACATTCTTCCCCACATCTCCCCCTTGCTAAACTTTTTTTTTAAGTAAAGCGCAGAACTGCATTGCAAGGAATGTACGTGGCATTGCTGGCTTGGAAAGTGTTTGCAGCTACACACAAAAAAAGGTGTAAAGGGTTGGTGTGGGGAGCAAAACAGAACTTGCAAACAGTGTTGTTTACCAATGCGAAACCCTGTGTGGCCGTCAATTGTCTGTATTTTAAAAAACTGTGGAAGAAATAGTCCTACGAAAGCAGCAGATAAGATGACACAATATAGCATGTACTGGTAACAGTTCTGAATTGTTTACAGTCTGAATTAATGTCAATGCCCACTATTAATGTACTTGCTTCCTACGTTTACCATAATGGGCTTGATTTCCATTAGTTGAAATTGGAAGGCGGTAAGAGACTAATACAAACTGAAATCAACAATCATTACACTGCCCGTTAGAGAGACAGGAGTTGTGGCTTGCAGGTTACCCAAATTTTAATTCCATGTGAACTTCCATGAACAAAAGTATTAATTGATTCCCCCAAAATTGGCTTTTACTTTCTCAAGACTCTTATCGTTAGTGTCCTCAATTTGCACAGGGGCACTGAAGATTTTCTTTTTGTTTCCCCAGGCAATGTCTGAGCTGATCCATTACTCCATTTGCCTATCTACACCTATCAGGAAACTAATGTTAGTTCTGCTCATATACTAGGAGGTTTTATTTAATTTTTCCCCAGTCTTGCCTTTTTTAAAATTTTTTTGTTCAGGCTGGTTTCTATTGGTGAGACACAGACAATTTTTGGTATACCTGGAATGTCAAAAGATTTGTCTCCTGGGATTTCCTCCCACTTACTAATTCCACATCATCACATTTACCTATGTTAGGACTGCCATGACTAAAGTCGCTCATTTGGCAGTTGCAGAGCATTATCTTTAAAGCACACCTTGTACATATCAAATAAAGCCATGGTGAAAAACTGGTAAGTTTGTTGCCAAGCAAGCTTAACTGAAGCATACTCATTACTTGCAAGCATAAATACAACTTGGAACACAATGTTGTGTTCCATTAGTGCAGTACATTTTTCTTTGAGTATAATGATAAAAAAGCCTACAGCTTTGTAACACAACAAACCCTGCTAATTTTCTGGTCTTTAATTTCCAGTGTATGGCATATACTGCACCCACAGGAACTGGACCTGTCTAACTCAATGAATCTTTTTGGAAAGAACACAGCAGAGCTCAAGAAATCCCAAACCTGGAGAAACCTTTAGCATTCACACACATCTAAAACATGTTAAATTTTAAGGGCCCAATTGTGCTTTCACTGTAATCAATGGGAGCTTTAACTGCAATGGTAGAAGAATCAAGACCTTAGTATGTGGCAATTCCATTTTATTCTGAGCTTGTTACGGAGGTGCTAGAGTTTTGTCTAAGGATGCTCTTACCAAAGAGGCATTTGTTTGGATATGCTAAGCTGAAGGACACTATGGAGGATGCAAAGGGAGAAGCGGCGAGAAACGGAGTAAAGGGTCTAAACTGTGAAATGAATATTGATTTTGGTATCGCCTCTCTAGAAGTGATGTTCACAGTTGAATTCAGAAAGATTGTGGTCACTGGGGATGAGAAAGAGAAGAAGAGGCAACAGACAAATTGAAGTGGGGTCACACAACCAAAGCCAAACTACTATAAAACATAAACCATTAAATAATTCTCCATGCAAACATTTTACATTTTAAATGTTATTCACTGATCCCTGCCTTTACATTTATGTGGGCTCTGAGGTGTGCAGGTTTAATAAAGATGGTAGGATTAACCCCTATGTAAAAGTCTCCACTTTAGGGAAATGCTTTTTACAATATAGTGGAGCATTGTCCTGTGTGCGCCTTTTGCAATTAAATATATTCAGACAATCTCTTCAGAAAAGGAAGCATTTGAATACTTATCTGAATCTCTGGAGTCTAAAAACACTAGACTGGAAATGTCATGAGAATGGCCTTCCTTAAGAATTTTCACATACTATTATTAATTACTGTTATTATTTTTATTTCAGTAGCCCCAGTTTACTAGGTGCTATAGAAATGCACAGTTAGAGAGAGTTCCTGTCCAAAGCATTTTCATTCTAAATAGATAGAACAGACAAAGAGTGGGAGGGGAAACAGGCCCAGAGAAGTGGAAGTGACTTGTCCAAGGTCACACTGCAGGTCAGTGGAAGAGCTGGGAATAGGAACCAGGTCTCCTGACTCTCAGTCCAATGCTGTAGCACTAGACTGCATTGCCTGCTTGCTCAAAACAGGACTAGGCATGGTTAAAATGCCACTGAAGGCTTTTGAGTATGTACTATTGTTAATATTTAGTAGCATCTAAAGGCCCCAGCCAGGATTGGGGCCACATTGTGATGCAGGCTACACAAAAACCACATGTAACAGTCACTTCAGTGAAGAGCCTGCAGTGTAAACAGACAAGAAAGAGAAAGAGTGTGAGGGAAAAGAAAAGTACAGAAAGGAGAAGTGACTTGCCCAGGATCACACACCAGTTGGGTGGCAAGCCAGGAGTACAGCCCAGATTTTCTGAGTCCCAAATTTATTCCCTGTTTATTAGATCACATGCTGTCTTTTCTTTTTTGGTCTGGCCACAAGTAGGAGAAAATGAAATGCCTCATAAAAATGATGGAGAATAGTGGATGAAGATTTCCTGGAGGGTAAAGACAGTGAACCTGTGTTGTATCCCAGCCAGGGGTGAATTGGACTGAAAGACCTCCACAAGTTATCCTGTGCTTGAATGAGGCAGGGGCCCAGTGGAGGAAAAAAGTATACAATCATATCCATCATATCATAATGCATACTCAATTAACCATCATATCATAATGCATACTCAAAGTGGCAGAATTAGGGTTTCATTAGCCATCTTAATTTTGGCATTTGCTAACATTTGAGTGCCTGAGTTGAACATTACATGGTGGTGTTTTAACATTTTTTTTAAATTTAATTTCCTAAATTTCAGATGCACAGCACAGCCTCCTACCACTTGAGTTAGATTTAACAGATTATTTCTGAAGCAGCATTGCTGAGTGAATGAGACTTGCCTCTGTCATATCAGAGACCCAGGTTTTATTCCTAGCTATGTTAGGGCTTATCTACACTTACAGCATTGCAGTGGCACAGCTGTAGTGCTTAGTGAAGACACTACCTGTGCCAACGGGAGAGCTTCTCCCATCAGCGAGAGAGATCACTTCCCTGAGAACTGGTAGCTATATTGATGGGAGAAGCCCTGCTGTTGACATAATGCTGCCTGTCTCCACCAAAAGTTCAGTCAGCTCAGGAGTGACGTAGTTACACCGACATAAGTTTGTAGTGTAGACTAGGGCTTAGAAATGACCTTGTGCAACCTTTCAGTGACTATTTCTGTAAAATGGGGTACGTGTATGAAGCTTTCCTCAAAAATAGGGGCCACAAACTGCACAAAATTAACACCAATCAGTAGTAGAGAGATCCACAGAAAAGTGCACCTTTCCCTATATCAAAGCATATTCAGTGAGTGTAAACAGGAGGGAACTACTTTGTCTGATTGTCTGGAGGTTCATTAGGACCTGGACACATGTGAAACGCAAATGAAGTCTTCAGCAAATTAACAAGGAAACCTCCCTTGTTCTACTGCACATGTGCAAAAGTTGATTTCCCAGGGAGTTCTAACTCAGAAAAATCTAAATGGATTTTCATGGGGCCAGCAAAAGGTACCTAGCTGGCCCCTGGACTATTTCCCCTGTCAAACTTCAAGTTCCCGCTCCAAATCACGGAGGTACTAGAACAGCTACAAAAACAGCCAAGAGGTTTTTGAATCTTGGTAAAATTAGCTAGTTTTCAGAAGCTGCTTCCTTGAATACAGTTGAATCGTTTTAGGTAAAAACTGGAAAATAATGACAATACCGACTCATGGCAGAGACCAAAAATAGAAAAAAAAAATCAACCCAAATAGTTAAAGTTTTCCAAAGTTCTAAGCAATCAAAAATTGGGAGTTATATGGGAAGTGCTAGGCAATCCTGGGATGGTGGTTGCTACTACTACCCCTATTAAAGGAATATTTTACAAAATATTTTTATATCCTTTTTTCCACAAATAAAAATATTAACCAAGGTCATTAACTTCAGGAGGGCTGCTTGTGGGTGCAAGAATCCACCCATGTGGAGCCAATTGCAGAATCAGGGCCTTCATTTCTTTCCTACCACCATTCCTATACTGTACAATGGTTTTTGGGGAGGTCAGGTAGGGAATTGTTTTTTGCTATTTTGTCTTCTTCAGTGTCCGGCTTCTTTTAGTTTAATTTTACTGCTTAATACTTTAACAAAAAAAGGCTGTGTTTGTAGATATATTTATGAAGCTGAAATAATCTTTCTAACTTAGGCCCTGATCTTGCAAACACTAGTGCATGTAAGTCACTTTGTGCACGTGAACAGTCACATTTAATTCAGCATTAGGGCACAAGTGGTAGATCCTCAGTTGGGGCAGAATGCCATAGCTCTTTGCAATATAAAACAGGCATTTTGTCCATGACACTACCCTGTCCCAGATGCACTGGCATTGATTACAACATACAATAATAATAGAATTTAAGG